TGCCTCCATGTGCCAGTCTCCATCCAGGACTTGCCTCTCCTCCACTCCAGGAATCGCCCATGTGTTCCGCCGTGGGACACGGCCTATGCTCGCTCTGCTCCTTGACTCCACTCTCCAGGTAGGGTGGGGTGGAGGGAGGGGGTTTGGTAGCGGGAGAGAGAGAAGAAAAGCTACGAAGAAGTGGGGGGAAAACAGGGAAAGGGACTGGCAAGCAGAGGAGCTCTGAATGGAGCATCCTGCTTTGCCACCATCTTAAGCTGCTCCCAATCAACTTTTGAAAGTTCTTGCCCAATACTATCAAAATTGGCCTTCCTTCAATTTAGAATTCAACTTTTAGATCAGGTCAATCCTTTGCCGTAAGTAGCGTGGTCGATGAGACACTGCTTCACTAACTATGTGGCATTGATTGATTGAAAATAGGGTACATTTAAGACTGAGGAAATGAGGATTTTTTTCTCTCTGGTCCATCAGTATTTGGATTTCTGACCCCAAAGAATTATAGATTGTGTGGACTGAGTTTGAATATTTGATGTAAAGGGAGCCCAGGGTTACAATAGCAAGTAGGAAAGTGGAATTCTGACCACTATAAGATCAGTCGTGCTCTTGAAGATTGGAGCAGGCCTGTTGTGTCAGTTTGCAGCCTCCCATTATTTGTTGGGGCAATTTACTGCGGATACTGGAATCTGTACTGAAAACAACAAGTGCTGGAGATCACAGCGGGTCAGACAGAATCCATGGGGGGAGAGAGCAAGCTAACATTGAGTCTAGATGACTCGTCTTCAGAGCTGAAGTGAAGTGTGGAGGGGACAGCATTTATGCTGTAGTTTGGGAGCGAGGTCTGTGGGAGTAGTGGGTGTAGTGTGCTGGTGGAAAAAAGATCTTGATAGTTCAGATTAAGTGATCAGAATATGAGAGCGGCAAAACAATGGTGTGTCCCCTGCTCGAATTGGGAAAGGACACAGTCCCATTGGGATGGTGGCGGTGGGGGGAGGTGTGTGTGTGCAGTGGGAGTGGGGGAGGAGGAGGGGGAAGAGAGGACGTGATAACAAAATGTAACGAGCTAAAAGAAAGTGAAGAATCCATAGAATCCCTATAATGTGGAAACAGGCCCTTTGGCCCAACAAGTCCACACCGACCCTCAGAACATTCCCACCCAGACCCATCCCCCTATAACCCACCTGATTGACACATCCCTGAACACTCTGGGCAATTTAGCATGGCCAATCCACCTAGCCTGCACATCTTTGGACTGTGGGAGGAAACCGGAGTACCTGAAGGAAACCCACACAGACATGGGGAGAATGTGCAGACTCCACACAGACAGTCGCCCAAGGGTGGTATCGAAACTGGGTCCCTGGCACTGAGGGGCAGCAGTGCTAACCACTGACCCACCTTGTCGCCCCTTTAAAAATGGGTGTTGTTCACAATTTGAAGGTGTTGAACTCCATGTTAAGTCCAGAAGTGCCTACTATGAAAATGCTATGTTGTTCCTCCAGATTGCACTGTGATTCACTGGAACACTGCAGCATGCCTAGGATAGACACATAAGCGTGCGAGCAGGATGCTGTGTAAAAATGATTGATTGGTTATGGGAAGGTCGGACCAGAGGTATTCCGCAAAGTGGTCACGCACACTACGTTTGGTTTCTCCAGTGTAGACCACATTGAGTGTAGTCAATGCAGTACACCAGATTGGAGGAGGTACAGGTAAAATACTGTTACACCTGGAAAGACTGCTTAGGCCCTTGGATGGTGAGCAGGGAGGAGGTGAAGGGGCAAGTTCTGCACCTTCTGCAGTTACGTGGGAAGGTGCCAAGGGGAGGGAGGGCTCATGTCGGTCATGGAATGGACTAGGGTGTCTCGGAGGGAACGATCCCCGTGAAATGCAGACGGGGCAGTGAGGGGAAGATGCGTTTGGTGGAGTTCTGCTGGACTTGTCTGAAATGGCGAAGAATGATCCTTTGAATGTGTTGGCTGGTGAGATGAGAAGTGAGGACAAGGGACGCCCGATCACACTGCTGTGAGTGATGGGAAGGGGCAAGGGCGAAAACACAGGTGATAGGTCAAATGTGATTGAGGACCTTGTCACCTCACAGTTGGTGAGAAACCACAGTCGTGGAAGAAGCAAGCCATGTCACAGCACTGTTTTGGAAAGTGGCATCATCTAAACAGATGCGACGTAGGAGAAGGAAAGGGGAGAATATGATGGAATCCTTGCAGGACATGGGGTGTGATGAGCTGTAGTGAAGGTAGCTTTGGGAGTCAGCGGCTTTGTAATAGAAGGTAGTGGACAGTTTATTCCACAAAATGGAGACAGAGGTCAAGGCAAGGAAGGGAAATGTCGAAAATGGGTGATGTGAAAGTTAGAGCAGTGGAAATTGGAGGCAAAATGAACAAATTTTTCAAGACCCTGGTGGGACCATGAAGCAGCACCAAAGCAGTCGTCGATGTACTGAGAAAAGAGTTGTGGGAGGGGGCCAGTGTAAGACTGGAACAAGGATCATTCCACACACCCCATAAAGAGGCAGGTATAACTGCCAGCCATGCAGGTCCCCGTAGCCACTCTTGACTTAGCTGAAGTGAGATGAATTGAAGGAGAAATTGTTCAGTGAGAGAACAAGTTCAGCCAGGGACAAGTGTGGTGGTGGATGGGGATTTCTCAGGCCTCTGGTAGAGGAAGAAGCCGAGAACTCTCAGACCATCCTGGTGGGGAATGGAAGTATAGATTGATTAGACATCCATTGAAGAGTAGGCAGTTAGAGGCAGGGAACTGGAAATTGTCAATTTGATAGAGGGCAGATGTAGGTGGGCAGGGTTGGACAAGGAGAGAGGATGGAGTCAAGATAGGAGGAAATGAGCTCAGTAGGGCAGAAATGGGCTGATACTATGGGCCTACCGGGCATTCTGGTTTGTGGATTTTTGGAAGGAGGTAGAAGTGGGCTGTCCAGGGTTGGGAGACTACCAGATTGAAGGCAATAGGGGAGAAGATCTCCAGAGGTCGTGAGGTCAGTGACAGTCCTGACAACAATGGCTTGATGTTCGGTTGTGGGGTCATGGTCCGGGGGTGGTAGGAAGGAGTGTTGGAGAGATGGCATTGAGCCTCTGGAAGGTAAAGATCAGTGTGCCAGATTACAACAGCACCATCCTTTTATCAGCCAGTTTGGTAACAAAGTTACAGAGGAGAGTGAGGTGCAGCAGTTTCAGAAGGGGACAGTTTAGAGTGGGTGAGAGGAGCAGAGAAATTCAGAAGGCCAAAGTCATGTCAGTAGTTTTCAGTGAAGAAAGAGGGCAGGTAAGAGGCCAAGGAAGGGATCCAAGTGGAGGGTGAATATTGGAGGTGGGTGAAGGGATCAGCAGAACAAGGGGCAGGGGGTCCCTGCCGGAAGAAGTGAGCGCAGAAACGGAAGCGGCAGAAAAACAGGTCAACGTCATGATGAGTCTGAAATTCATTAAGGTGGGGGCGTAAGGGTATGAAGCTGAGTCTTTTGCCGAGAACAGCACATTCGGCCTCGGAGAGGCGAAAGTCAGGAGGTATGGTGAACACATGACAAGCGCTGGGGTGGGGGAGAGTGGCCACTGGAACAGAAAGTGATGGCATCTGAGGGCTGGAAAGGGGTGCGCAGGACGGATGTTGGAATCCATAAGTCACTGGAGCTTGCCGGAAGAAAGAGCAAGTCTTCCTTTCAGGATCCGGGTGAGGTGAAGGATGAAGTGAAACCAGGGACTAGCGCAGCTTTGAGAGAGGGTGAGTCGATGTTGCTGCGGAGTGGTGCGCGTTGGGTTGTTTGTGGATCACAGGATCTGGTGGGAACAGCAATCTGAGGAAAGTTGTATGTCCTGGAGATACTTGTAAGCCTGGGTGGATTCAAAACATGAAGAGTGAAACTTGATTTGAATAACATGCAGGGTAAGTCTGAGTCATTTGCAGTCGCTGAGAAAGGAAACATGGCTGTGGAAGCGGGTTTTGGCAAACACCTTGTGGAACATCAGTGAAATGGAGAGTAACAAAGGTGTACATGGTGGAAAAAGTCAGCTGAAATTCCTGTAATAGGGAAGAGTAAAACTTCTTCAGGATAGGCATTCCTTGAAGAGATGTGGCAGTCAATTAAACAAAATGTTGGAGCAAATTACTACAGATGCTGGAATCTGTACAGAAAACGACAAATCCTGGAGATCACACCAGTCAGGCAGCATCCATGGAGAGAGCAAGCTAACATTTTGAATCTAGATGACTTCAGAGCTGAGAAGAAGTGTGGAGGGGACAACACTTATGCTATAGTTTGGGGGAAGTTGCTATGGTGGGTGGTGGGTGTAGGGTGCTGGTGGAGAAAAGATGTTGATAGTTCAGATTAAGTGATTGGAATGTGAGAATGGCAGAACAAAGGTGTGTTTCCTGCTAGAATTTGGAAAGGACAGCCGGTCCCATTGGGATGGGGGGCAGGAGAGAGAAGACATGATAACAGAATGTAACAAGCTAAAAGAAAGCGAAGAAATGAGTGTTGGTTCACAGTTTGAAAGTGTTGAACTCTATATTAAGTCCAGAAGGCTGTAAAGTACCTAGTATGAAGATGAAATGATGTTCCTCCAGTTTGTGCTTGGATTCACTGGAGCACTGCAGCATGCCAAGGACAGGCATGTGAGCAGGACGCTGTGTTAAAATGACTGGCTACAGGAAGGTCAGGGTCATGCTTGCGCACGACTGGAGGTGTTCCGCAAAGTGGTCACCCAGTCTGCATTTGGTTTCTCCAATGTAGAGTAGGCCACACTGGGGGCAGCGAATACAATACACAAGATTGGAGGAGATACAGGTGAAATGCCATTATTTGTTATCTTGTGCACTTATGTAAATCTAACTGTTGTATACACACAACACAGAGGCTTTTATCAATCTTCAAAAAAGTTCTTTTATTTCCCCCCTCTGTTGTTTGACCTCCCTCCCAAAATTCAGTCATTTGCACTCTGACATTTACCACCCCCACTGGGATATATTTATCTTTGCAGATGGCTTTCGTAAAGTTGTGAACATTGAGCAAGGTGGGCTTGTGAAACCAGAAAAGGACGATACGGAGTTTCAGCATGTATATTTCATCCGGGGTCAGGAACATTTACTAGAAAATATCAAGAGAAAGGTAACCAGTGTAAGTGTGAAATAAGCTAAGTCCCAGTTTATTTCCTCCTGTCTCCAAAAAGGGCTTCACAATTGTTAGATCAAAGACAAATAGCTGCTTTTTAAAGATCTGTTTCTTTTTAAGTGGGTGGATAGGCAGAATAAATAATAATCAGTCATTTGTGTATTCCAAAAATAGTCTGTCCCTCTCTCTTAGTTACCTATCCCAAAGCTCTTGAACTCCACGCAGCCATTCCTTACACATGTTCTTTTCTGTTGATGGAATTAGGTACTCCCAGTTGTGGCTCAATGCAAATGCCTTAATTATATGTATCTGGTGGTGTTCTTCTGGTGTTTCTTTTCATTCCCATGAATTGATTAGCACTGTGCTATTCAAGTACGATTTGGAAGTTGTGTCTTTGTTACACTCTTTCAACCTTGGACAGTGCAAACGTATGCCAAGAGATATTGTACAAGCACAAGAAAAGTATTCAGTACATGGTACAAGTGAGTGCTTGTTAAGCTCGAATAAAAGCAAAATATTGTGGATGCTGGAAATCTGAAATTTAAAAAAAGTACTGGAGAAACTCAGTTGGCCTGGTAACTCTGTTTCTCTCTCCAACGATGTTAACATTTCAAGTCCTATATGACTTCTTCAGAAGCCTTTTTATAAATGTAAAAGCACAAAAAAGGCAGTCTCGAACACTCCTATCTTCCATCCCTTCTGAGTCCCTTTGACCATTTCTCACTAGATATCTTTAATAGCAATTGTTATCTGGGCATGCTCATTTAAAAAAATGGGCAACGTCATGATTATGGATCCTGTTTTGAAGGGTTAGTCTCCCCACCAAGGCCAGTTTGTGTGTGTGTCTGTCTGTCTCTGTCTTCACTCTGACCTCTCCCCTCTCCTCCTAATAGCGTACACACATCCTTGCTGCAGTGATGGCCACTAATCAAGGAATCCAGAATGTGAATTTAATGGTGGTGTCACCAACTGAAATTGCTGTTAAGGCAAAATTGCCATGGTCTCAGAAGACCATAGAACTGCTGTCCCGTTAGAGACAACTGGTGGTGAATTTAACCTGAGGGCCACTATGTTTCAGGCAAGGCAAATGGTCAAAAAGGCAAGACTTCCATGGCAACTTCAGCTGGTGTGGGAATTGAACCCGCACTGTTGGTATCACTCTGCATCGCCAACCAACTAACTATCTTCTGGGTTTGGCAACATTGTGGACAGTAGTTCTCTTCTAAACATTTAAATCTGTTGTCAATATAATGGTTTTTGATTTAAAACTTGTAGATCTCGACTGTAAAGCCAGAGGAGATCAAAGTCAGGACCGATGACGTCAGTAAAATTCTAAGTGATGTTCAGATCATGAAAGGGAAGCAAGAAACCCTGGACTCCAAACTGCTCACCATGAAACAGTAAGTACCTGAACTTGGAATATCAAATGTGTGTATAGAAGCAATTGTTAGTTATTTTGAATGCATCATTGCAGTGTGCAACCATACTGTGGACACTTCCATTGTTTGATAGAAGTGCTTTTGGAGAGAGAGTGTATGCTGTTTTAGTTTGGATCTCCATGAGTGGCCTGAAGTGTAATTGCTGCCCATGTCTCTAAGGCCATCCATCCAAAGGCAGTAATATTCAAGAGTATATCCATCAGCTGGAGCAATGTCTGGGACCTGCTGCTTTGCCAATAATCTCTATCCTATTTCCTAGCCCATTTTTAGGCTACCTATTACAGTGGAATATCATGAGTTAGGATTTAAATTAAACTGTGCATGTTTGTAATTAAACACATAATTGAACTTCCAGGAAGGGTCAATGTAAGCATGGAATACTGACTTAACACCGGCAAATTGTCTGGTGTTCAGTCTTGGTTAGTGACAGAAATCATCCCATCATTTAATTACGCTTGACATTACGAGGTGTCAGATGAGAAGATTGGGCCTTGAGAAAGATCTTGAAGGAGGCGAGGGAAGGAAATATTTGGAGGCATGAACTTGGAGAGTTTGTGCATGCATTGTCAGTGTTCCTCCTCAACCGTGGCTTAACATTTTTGATGCCAGATTCTGAAAGTGATGGCCAGATATAATGTTCTTAGAAGTTGCATGTCCCTTTTTAGTTTCACTTTCACTTATCAATGAAGCCTCTTCAGCTTTAATTTGGTTCAGCAGGTAAACTGTTGTTGTTGTCTGCCAGGTACTGATTGTTTTGGAATTATCTACTGAATAGTTGCCAGTCCTGGTGGTAGAGTATTGATTGCCATGTTATATGAAAAATTTACTCAACTGTCAAAAGGGATTAGCATGGAACTCATGTAGTTCTGAACATCCTTGCTGCTCTGAATCTATTAGTAGTCTAGATTTGCAGAGAGATCAACACAGATTTACAAGAATGATACCTGCACTTCAGGGGTTAAGTTATGAGGAGAGATTATGGCCGGATTTTTCTAGAATTTAGAAGGATAAAGGTTAAGGAAGTATTCACAATGTCAACTGGAAAAGACAGCAGATAAAGATAAACTATTCCCACTGGCGGAAATCTAGAACTGGCAGTCATAGTCTAAAACCTAGGGCCTGACCATTCATGAGATATTAGGGAGCACTTCTACATAAGGGTAGTAGATGTTTAGAACTCTCTTCTGCAAAATGTTAGTGGATGTTAGATCAGTTGCTAGTTTTAAATTGGAGATAGATAATGTGGGTAAGCAGAGTCAATATTGATTAATGGAACAGAAATGGGTGTTAGACAAATCTGTTTGGTGATTTGAGATTGTACCTTGTCGGATAGAAAAGGGGATATCAGTAAGTGCAGTATATTTGGAGTTTGGGCTTTAGCGCAAAATTAGAGCTCATGAGGCTTAGGGTAATAGATAGTGAATTTACGAGACAAAAAGGAAGTGGAGGTTGGCAGGCTATAACTAGTTCTCTACCCACGTGATTTTTCTTTTCGTCCTTTTCTTTTTTACAATTTCTGCTGGGGTAAGGTTTTTTAAAATTTTGTTATGAGTAGCAGCATTTCATTGAAGGGAATCCACCTTGGAGGATAACACAGCTGTTTTCGCCCAATATCTCCACATGCACCTTCCAACTGGGAACAATGAAATTCAATCCAGCCAATCAGCCCTGTCACACATCCTCCCCATCCCTAACCCAGAGCTAACCAGGCTAATTTTGAAACCCCAGTTCTGGCACTGGTTTAATTGAATTGTTGAAGGTTTGAATCAAAACATTAGACCTAGCCCACTGCTGGAAAAAGCACTGAGATAAACAGCATCCTTTTTTTTCTTTATTCATTCATGGGGTGTGGGCGTCGCTGGCCGGGCAGCATTTATTGCCCATCCTTAATCGCCCAGAGGACAGTTCAGAGTCAACCACATTGCTGTGGGTCTGGAGTCACATGTAGACCAGACCAGGTAAGGATGACAGTTTCCTTCCCTAAAGGACATTAGTGAACCAGATGGGTTTTTCCAACAATTGACAATGGATTCACGGTTATCATTAGATTCTTAATTCCAGATATTTATTGAATTCAAATTCCACCATATGCTGTGGTGGGATTCGAACCTGGATCCCCAGAACATTGTCTGGGCCTCTGAATTAACAGTCCAGTGATAATACCACTAGGCCATCACCTCCCCTGAGCTTATTTTTAACATAGTTCTCACTCTCCAAAGGTTAGGATGGTGATTTGGTTGTGCTGCACTTAGGAACATAGAAACAGAAGGAGGCCGTTCAACCCTGGAGTCTGTTCTACTATTCACTGTGATTATGGCTGATATATTGCCTTGCTTGCTATCTTTGGTGTACATCCCTTAACTTTTTTTTGCTTAATAAAAAATTATCTATCTCCAATTTAAAACTAGCAACTGATCTAACATCCACTAACATTTTGCGGAAGAGAGTTCTAAACATCTACTACCCTTATGTAGAAGTGATCCCTAATATCTCATGAACGGTCAGGCCCTAGGTTTTAGACTATGACTGCCAGTTCTAGATTTCCGCCAGTGGGAATAGTTTATCTTTATCTGCTCTGTCTTTTCCAGTTGATATCGTGAAGACTTCCTTAACCTTCTAAATTCTAGAAAAAACCGGCCATAATCTCTCCTCATAACTTAACCCCTGAAGTGCAGGTATCATTCTTGTAAATCTGTGTTGATCTCTCTGCAAAGCCATTGGCCCCTTCCTAAGGAGTGGTGCCTGGAACTGAACCAGGGTTTTGTACAGCTGCTTCTTGTACTCCAGTCCTCTCGATATGAAGGCCAGTATTCCAGTAGGTTTCTTGATTTATTTTCTGCACGTGTTTGTGACATTTTAAAAGTCTCTTTGGACATCCACTGTAATTATCTTCATGCGATCTAGAAGATACCCTGATCTATCCTTTTGCAGTCTAAAATGAATAACCTCCCACTTGGGTTACACTGAATTCCATCTGTCACAGTTTTTGCCCATTCACCTAATATATCCATATCCCTCTGTAATTTTATGCTGTCATTTACACTGTCTACAATACTTCCTAATTTTGTGTCATCAGCAAATTTGGAAATATGATTTTCTATGCATTATCCAAGTCATTAATAAGTAATTTGAATAATGCAAAGTGCTGAGTTAAATCAATTTATGAAGGCCATAATTTATGAATATCTTGGATCACTGCAGCTTTTCACCATATTTGGTGCAAACAGTGGATCTCCATGATTGTCTGAGCACTGACATCATTGTAGGGTCCCATTTCTTGCAGTTGATGGGCAGAGAGTGATAGGTATTTTGCATGAATCTCTGATAGTTTTAACATTAATTTTTGTTACAGTGAAAACGAAGCTTTATGGCGTGAGGTGGCGAGCCTGCGACAGAAGCACACGCAGCAACAGAAAGTTGTAAATAAGGTACGGGATAAGGCAGATTGTTGAGGCACAACAACAAATATATTTCATTCAAACAAGTCTGTTGAATATTTGAAGGTCATGCTCCCTACTGACTCAGTAATGCACAAGGTTCTGTACTTTTTCCAAAACAGCTCTGGCTGTTCCCATTTTAAGCTGAAATCTACCGTATGAGCCTTTCCTTCTTTATCATAGTTTTTGCAAGGCCACGCTGTCAGTAAGCTCTGTCGAAGATAACCTTGGGTGGCCAGGCTGTGATCTCTGCCCTGCCATTGTAATTGGCTGTGTTGATCTGTACATGTGATTTTTGTTTTCTAAGCAAAAGGTGGAACTATTTCCTGGAAACTAATGTGCTGTTGAGCAAGACAACAAAAATCAGCCGGAGATTTTGTTGACACTTCTGTACCTGACACGTACATGTCATGGTTTGTGCCAGCTTGATCTCAGTCAAGATGCCAGCATGAGGCCATTAAAATCCTATCCCAAGACTCCTAAGGGTCAGAATGAAGATTTCCGATCCTGAAATGCATAGTAACACTCCCACCCTTCTGCTGATAAGTGTCTGCAGTTACAATCAGCTGGGGTTGGGATTGACATGGGGTTTGTTACCTGCTGTAACTGAATAGATCTGCTGCATTCCGAATGTTGACTCATTGGCTGATGTGCCACATGATGGCTATGCCTCTGAAACCCAGCAGGTGAAGTAGTATATGGCAACAGTGAAGGAAGATCAGATGAGCTTGGCATATAGTTGAGGGTAATAATTTGGCTTAGTGTATAGCTGGGCCACGGTCTAGCAATCAAAAATGCACAGCCCAGGTAAGCAGAGGGGTGCAAGCAAATCGTCTCACTTTCGGCATTCAGACTAAATGATGGGAAATTACTAAGTTGTGTGTCACTTTAACAAGGGTCTGGGATTTGCAGGAGAACCTGTCATAGCGCAGGGAGATATACTTTAATTGATGCTTTTAATCGGAAAGGGGCTTTTGGTTCCTGGGTGGTTAATTAGGATCTGCCCTGGTGACAGGGTAAATGATCTTACAAGCTGTGGGGAAAGCAGTGTGGAGGTCAGAAGTCTCCTCCCACCCCCACTGATTGTAACAGATCAGTGGAGGTATTTCCAAGCCGCTTTGATGTATCATCACTGACATGAGGAGAGGTCTGGGTGCAGACTTTTTGCCTACTTATCTGCCTGTCATATGTGATCTAACAGGGTAAGAAAGATAGGGAAAGGATGAATTGGCATGTCAGTGTCAGACATATTGCTTCTAGGTACTGTATTACTAAAACAAGTTGCAAGAATCTGAGCCTGGGCTCATCCCAAAGTTTGGGATTGGGACGAGGCTGCTGCTCAACTAGTAGGTTTGAGCAGTAGGGTTAATTCAACTGAAGATGTGGGGAGAGAGAAATGCCATTGTTTTGTGTCCCAGTCAGATGTTCATGAGAAGGTTTGCTTATTTTACATGAATGTTCTGAAAGTGTTGCTGGTTGGAACATGGCAGGTTATTTCTATCAGACTGATCAGTTGGTTGTTTTGATGTTGAGGGCATTGCTCTTGCTTAAGGTTCCTCCTTTTGAGGTAATAGAAGTTGAGGATGAATGGCCACCTGAAGTCATGGGACAGACACTTGGTGACTGAGTATCTGCTGGGGAATTGAGTTTGAGGCCATTGGCCTTGGGATTGGAAGCAGGGTAATGCATCAAGACTCTTCAATCTTTATTTAACTCATCGGTGGGATGTAGTGTCTCTGGTACAGCCAGTGTTTAATATCTATCCCCAATTATTATTTGGGATATTGGTGAGCTGTTTCCTCCAATACAAATTGGTGTGGCTTATCTTCAGAAATCAGCAGGTAGTCAGAAACACTGCTGTGGAGTTTTGATCTGTTTGAATTACCTGGTGTTCATTAAATGGAAACAATGAAACATTTCTGCATCCTTCCCTCCATCAACTGATAAGCTAACACCTTTTTAATTAATGTGTGAAATTTCTAATTTTTAGACTGTGTTGCTTATGGTGCTTCCCAGCGGACTCTGCATTATCAAGCCGTCTGCCCTGTGACTTCAGCTGAGCTGAGGGTGTGTAGCGCAGGTTCACCTTCCACTCCTATACATCATCTTTTGGACTGGGGATTTGGTGTGGGGGCAGGGTTTGCTTTGGCAAGAGGGTTGGTTGCACAGAAAAAGTTCCGTTTTATGGAGGTTGGGAATTTTGAGTGACCTAATGGGCGCTGCTGCTTGTTTTTGCAGGGTTGTGCCTTGTCAGAAAGATTAATATGTGGGGTGGGTCTCCTCCGCAAATGAAATTATTGAGCAGGAGTTCAAATGTGAGCGGAGAAGGGGTGTCTGCATGGTCTGCTGAAAGGTTACGGGTAGAAGTGTCCTTCAGGAGGCTTCAAAAATAGTTTAGCATTGAGGTATCGCACTGGTTTCTCGTGTCTTTCTCTGACAGGATGGTGAAATGTCTGGTACAAGTGGGTCAACTACAGGGGCAGACAACAAGGTGCAGGGCTGGATGAACACAGCAGGCCAAGCAGCAT